TCATCCTGCATAAAAAAAAAGTTGCATTTAGTTGCTCCATTTAAGAGCTGTGCTGGTAAAAACAATCTTGAAAAACATCAGGTTTGCTGTCAAAATGTCTCATTTTGATTTGTCTCCATGCCAGCCTCTGGTATCTACCTTAATAGCTAAGGAACAGACCAGGTCTAGGCAGCCAGGGGCAGCCCAACTGCACCCTCTTTAAGAGAAACCAGTGGAGGAGCAAATTGCCAGGGCTGCTCTTTAGACCCTGCCACATTTTGTTTTGCTTAAAAGTCTTTAGAGAAAAATACATCTAATTTATGGCAGTGTTGCATGGATTAACGTGTGGTCAGATGGCCAGAGGGAGATGAAAGCAACAGCTTGTGGTCTCTGCATCCTCTTACCTGTCTACGGCGATAGCAACCAGAGTGAAGACAGAAGCAGAAACTGAGATTCCTTGGACCATCCCGCTCATCTTGCAAACCAGGCTCCCAAACGGCCATCCTGGAAGGAAAGAGGCAATTGAATTTACCACCATCTCACTGCAGCACAGTGCTTCTGTGCCCAACAGGAGATTTCTGCCCCAAAACTAAAATACGTTCCTTTTGCTCTGTCAGGCCACAGCAGGAGTTTCTGATGTTCCGAAAAACCAGCAAAGCAAACATTTGTGGTTTAACATCCCATTAAAATGAGATCTCAAGACAAGAAAGGGATTCGACCACTAGAGTTGATTGTTCTCTGTGTCTGGCACTCAGCTTCTGCCGAGTCTTCCTAAAGACATATCCTGGTGTTTGGAGAATCCCCTCCTAACGAGGGGGGATGTGGAAGTCTGCAAGGACAGCCTCAGTCAGAAGGTGGGTTAGGGGCTTGTTTTCCTCCCCTTTGACTCCCGGTGACTTAAAATGCCTGTAGATCCCCCAGAAGTTGCAGCGTGCAGCAGGGGACAGTGATATCTTGGTTTAAGGTGACCTTTAAGCTGCTGCCTTCTCTGTTCTGCCCTCATGGACTAGTGAGTGCTGATTGCAGTACCCTCCTGAGTAGCCTCAAAGCCATGGCATGTCCAACCTCTCTGCTGGGGGGGCTGCAACGGTGCCTAAAACTTTTTTAACCAATGTGGGGGAGTGATGGGTAAGAGATTTTGCCCATCGAGCCCAGTTTTCAAATTGAGGGCTCCAAATTTGCCCCAAGATGTTGGTTTCTTTGTGCCATGGCCACAGTTAAGGAGCAGTTTGTTCTCATCACTGTCACGTGCACCTGAATTTCATAGAATCTTAGAATCATTATGGTTGGAAGAGCTCTTTAAGATATTTTCAGGGTCCCCATGGAGGCCAGCACTCAGAAACCAACTCTTCCTGCTACGCAGTGGGAACCAGCCTACCTGCGATGATGTTGTCCAGGAGGGTGGTGGGCATGCAGAAGATCCCCACCAGCAAATCGCTGACAGCCAGGTTCAAGATGAAGAGGTTGGTGACCGTACGCATGTGTTTGCTCCTCAGCACGATGAAGCAGACCACCCCGTTGCCCACCATGCAGAGCAGGAAGATGAGAAGGTACGAGGCGATGAAGACAGCGGCCACTGAAGGCTGATGAAGGTAGAAATCCACGTAGGAGACGTTGCCTTCAAAGTAGAGGTACTTGTACGTCCCAGTGTAATTCAGCACGGGAGGCCAATCGAATGAAGAGTTGGAGTCCATCTTCTTACTCATGTTGTCAAGGGCCTTAAAAGATATATTGAAAAAGGTCATTTTTAGTATCCTTGACGCTGATCTGAAGAAATGTGACTGGTTTGGGTACACCGTGTGCTGAAATACATGCAAAGCTTGTGTATACTCATCCCTTCATTGCTGGCTTTCACAGTCTGTGTCCTGAGCCTCCCCAGATAGGGAGAACAACAAATTTTATTAGTTTAATTTTACAACACAGGCATACAACAGTGACCAATAAGACTGCTGAGGGTTTTCTTCCTTCTCCAGACGCCATAAATTAAATCCTTCCTTTCCCAAAAGAGAGGAAAGCGGGACAGGATGTAAACTGGCCTCTTGAGTTGTGTCAAGTAAACAAACCAGCAACTGAAACAGGGTATGTTGAGGAGAAAGAAAAAAAACTAAATAAGATTTTTTGATAAATCCATTTACTCAACAGCTTGAGTAATCTGGCACTCAGGCAACAGTGAGATTGCTCAGCCGTGAAAAACAGTGGTTAAATTAAAGCTTTCTGAAGTGGCACAAACCTTCTGCCTGAATGTGTCCAAATCCAAACCCTCTTCATTAAAAATGAAATATTTTTTGGCTACAGCTGGTATGAGACCCCAGTGGGTTTTACTTCCCTGCTTACAAGCTGCATAGATCAGGAGATGAGTCTGCAAACATGAAGGGCAATGCTGTGTTCAGAACAGGCTGAAGCCCGAGATGGTGCCAGCCTCATTTCCCAGCTCTGCTGCCAAATTCCCAGCCAATCCAGGGGAATTTGTAAACTCTCCGTGTTGCCGTTTTCCTGCTGTAAAAAGTGAGTAATAGTTTTCCCATGTCGTAAACTAAATTCTCCCATTTTATATTTTATTAGATTGCTGTTGGCAAAAACTACAAGCTTTTGTGGAGAGACGTTTTTCCGCGTCTGAACTTTCTTGATATCTTCATCTACAAACACCTGTGCCTGCTGTGCCGTAGTAAGCGACGCTTTCCCTGGGCTGATGGGTTGAAGATAAGGGATGTGAGACTTTATATTCGACGGCTGCAAGAATCAATTTAAGGCAGGTACCAAATTTTTGTGCCCTAAACTTATTTACTTCCACATTTGACTCACTGAGATTAACTTTGTTGGCCACAATCTAGTTTCTTGCCCTGCAGAATCTGTAGTTTTAGGAGATGCTGCACCAAAATTCTACATCAAATCTGTGACAAACTTTTTAATACGGCAGACAACCAGGTCTAACCAAGCAGACAACTTGGTAGCAACATTCAGAAGTTTTTCCCACCTTTATTTCATCTGCCAGATGGAGACTTTGAAACTTTTAGGTAAAGGGAGTAGGGAAAGGGATTGGATTGCTGATACCACTGGCAAGGTAGCTTTTGGATAACGCTTGATTAAAATGGCCCCTGGGGTTCTATTTCTTTAATAGGCACATGTATATTGATGTCTAAAGAGGCAGGGGGTGGAGGTGTTCCTAACTTAAAAGACCAGCAACATTAATTGGGGGCAGAAGGCATAAAATTAATGCTCAGGTGCAGGAGCCTTAGTATAAATGGAATTTGAATTAAGGAGAATCCAAATCCCAATGAGCTTGTGTGTGAGGGAAGTGCTGGCTACACCTCTTTCCCTACGGAAGGACACTCGGAGAAGACCCTTTTTTGTGCACGAGGGGTGATGGGCTGGTTTTCCCATAGTAGTAATAGTGGAAGGTGATGTTCTGCTGTCACCCCACCTAGGGCAGCCCTCTCCCCAGGAAACAAAAATGAGTGCTAGGTACCAACACTAAAGGGACAACTGTTTTTATTTCATCCGTCTTGCTGGGTTTTACTTAAAAGACTTTCTAATTTATTTTCTGTCTCTGCCAGTTGCTCCCTGATGTATTTACTCACACCTAAGTCTCAGGAAAGCATTGCAGCTTTTCTGTATTTTGCCTGGCAATGAAATTCAATAACATCAAAGCCTTCGCAAGCATTTCAGGGAGCAACTGCGGTAAAAAATATTTATTCTGATATGCCTCAGGTTTGGAACAAGCAGAGGAGTGAAAAAACCCATCATTTTCTGGAATCTTCTGCCTTTTTAGAAGTCAGCAGCAATGTGATGTTTGTAATGAGTCTGTTTTCACATGTTGCTTAAGGTAAGTAGACAAGAATCTGAAATATCTTGCAAAAATCTGGCTGCTTGTATGTTTGAAGAAAGCAGGATCTACACCCTGCAATAGTTGTGTATTCTCCTTAAGCAGAAAGATTATTTATCTCTATTGGTTTTACCCAACGTATTTTCAGAATGATTGAAAATATTTTTATTCAAATATATTATGTGCCAAATGCCTTAACTCGCCAGAGATCAGAGTCAACTGCTGTGGAAAGTGTTTTAATGCCAATATTACTATTCACTGGAGAGAACAGGCACCGGTGCGTTTGCCTACAAACATGCCTGTGTTAGCAGAATTCAAATATAGATATTTGACAGTAGGAGTTTATGCTGTTCCTTTAATCACAGATTAAATCACAGATTAAAGGAGCTTGGGTTAACACAGGGGAAGGGAAATAGCAAGAAATGGAGCTGGTAATCTGACATTTGTTATGTGTTTGGAGCAAAAAACGCAAGGGATGGAGCTGCCCTGGACTAATTGCGGCATTTCAGAGACTAAATGCAGCTCTGCCAGAAAAGGGAGTTCTGCTCTGTGCAGACTTGGGCTCCTGGTAGGTCTCCCGTCTGCTTTGGAAAATTTTGGCCAAGAGTGGCAATAAACCCAATCCCAAGAGTTTGGAAAAAGTCTGTTCCTCTGCCCCTTCTCACCCTCTAACAAAAATAATCATGTATTTGGCTCCTTTGATTCAGCTTCTCTGAGGTTCCACCAAAGTTCATGCTCTCCAGGGTTTCTCTGCAAATAGGACAGCCCCAAATTTATTAATTTTTATTATTGTTATTGTAAATTAATACTAATTTTATTCTGTAATCTTTGCTTTAAGAAGCAAAGCTTGGGGAGGATGGCTTTTGTCTGTGTCCCCAGTCCCTGTGACCAACGGGACCTGTGCTGTCATGAGCAGATGACACAGAGGGGGCTTTCCCTCCTTGCCTGCTCTCCTCTGGCTTTTTGGGGGGTCTCTGATGGGATGAGGTAGGCATTCTTTGTGATTCCATGGTAGAGTAGCGTTGTTCCTCTGTGCAGATATGTATATTTATATGATATATCTATGGTTAAGATTTTATTACTGCTTTGCACCTTATCTACACAACCATTCAGGGGCTACATGGGCTTTTGCTGGGCTTTTTACAAGTACAAATTATTACCCAGGGCTTTGGTCTCAGGGGTATATGTCCTTGTGGGCCATTCCTGTGCAATAGCAGTATTCTGGTGAAGTAATTACAGTTCTTTTCATTAAGGCAACTGAAATGATAGCTAATCACACTACAAGCAGGAGGGACAATTTCATAATTACTTTTTGGATATACGTCTTGGATTTTTTTCCACTTTCTGACGATGTATTGTAAAGCAACAGCTTTCAGTGGGCTCAGTAATGAACTCTGGAATAGTTTTTGTAACTGATAAACAAGGAGTTGCAAAGTGCCTCGAGGGAAAAGCGGAGCTGGGTCTGTCCTACCTTGTCTGACCGCAGCCACACTAATGAAATTCTCTGTCATTGAGGCTGTGGTGAACGCAGTGAATTGGCCTTACAAATACCAGCACTTCCAGGAAATGGAAAAGGTACACAGGTTTTTATTATATTGAAGCTGAGGTGGAAAAGGATTGGCTGGAAGGAGAAATAAAGGCAGTGCCTTATCTTTTCCCAAGGTACTCGCCAGCTAAAGGAGAGGGTGATAAATAATTGGGAGAAGCACAGAAGACAGAAACATCAGTCATCTGTGAAAAGGGAAAAAAAATAATGCAATGCATAAATATTACAAGATGACAAATAAAAGCAATTTGCTTCCACATGGTAATTTGATAAGGGCATGGCCTCCCTACTTAATCTGATATACCAGAGGAAAATCTGCAAACAAGTAAAACAGGAGCCCCCACGAGTGGAAAAACTGCCCAGTCCCACACTCTGGGTTTTTAAACATTAAAATCCCAGTAACACCCCTATACAAATATGCAATATAACCAGGACATTCTCATGCCACTGGATATAAAAAATTAATTTTCCATTTTTATAATAACAACTCAAGGTAATTATGAAGCAAATGCCATTATTTTTATGTTGGCCACACGAAGGGAGTCTGGTAACCGCTGGAGCCGGCCAACGCTGCTCCACCTTTGTGCATAACCAGCTGGTTTTTGTTAGCTTGATTTCTGCAGGTGTGAAATCTCATCACAGAACCCTCTGAGGCTTTAGAAGCTGAAACAAAGATAAGGAACCTTCAGAGACATGAAGAGCAGAAACACGTTGTTGTGGAAAAAGAAAATTTAATGTGGTAAGTGCTAAAAAAAAATTGTTCTTCCCTTGTTTTGAGCTCTATATTCAGTAATGGGTCAACTACAGAAATTTTCTGAAAAGCTTGGAATGATATCATTTCTGTTCTGCTGGAAAGGTACAAAATGCTACTTGCAAAATGCAGCCACGGAGGGATGGCAAAACCAGCAGTACCTCATTCTGTAAGTGCCTTAGAAATAAGTAAGAGACAAATGCATGGATCATCCTGTGACTCAGTGGATCAGAAAAAGCTATTGACCAAGGCAAACAAATTCGGTTTTGCCTAAAAAAAAATATGTAAAGAGATGAACTGTGAATATTCCTGACTCAGTGAAGTGCTATGGGCAGTTATTTTTAAGAATTGGAAGTGCAAGTGGTCACAAGTGACCTCTGCCTTTGTGAAAAGTGATGTTTTTGGAGGAAGCAACAGCAGGAAAAGAGATCTGTTTGCAAGCTGGGCACTTTGGCTGCAAAAGACCATTTCTTAAGGAAACCAGCTTAAAACCAAAACCCTATTCAACAGGGATACACTGCCCAGCAACATGCAGCGAGGCAGGAAAAGCCAGGGGAGCACTGACTGGGTAGTGATACTATGGACATGGATCTGGGCTTTGTACCAAGATATGGGAGGCAACAGCAGCATGACATAGGAAAATGGCACGTAAGGAGGATAGCAGTGCACAGAAATATCTCCACTTTGGTACTCGGGGCTCATCTCATTTGTTGCATTTAGTTCTGGTCAATGTATTTCAGCACAGACTTGGATCACGTGCGGGAAGACTATGGGAAGTCCCAGGAAAGATCAGAGGGCGCAAAAGTGGGACCTCCGGGGAAATATTGTAAGAGGAGGGGTAATTTAATCTAAAAAGGTAAAATGTGACAATGTGTTCTTCCATTTTACTGTGAATTTCAGAAATACTTTATCCGTAGCATCCTACCTTTCAAAAAGTTGGACATGGAGGATGTTGGAAGGAGAGCTTATCTTTGATTTCTCTTCCAGAGAAAGAGCGAGGCTTCACCAACACCAAGTTCCAGACTGAAGCTCAAGTGCAGAAGCTCTTACTAAGAAAACAGAGCACCTGGGTTTGCCAAGATAAACACCACAGGTGAGACAGCCTTTTGCCCAAGTCAAGATTTCATAAGATTATCATTAACCTCTTGGAAATCGTTGTTTTAAGGTATGTTTTAACTTCATTTTGCACTTAATGCCAGTTTCCCGTATAAACAGAAGTGTTCAGTCCGTATAATACAGGACTTGAACTGCAAAGTACAAACTCTGAGGATATTTATGAATTAAGGCAGTAGAACTTACTCTTAAAGTGTTTTATTTGATTTTTCATGCATCCGAATTTGCATGATGTTTTTTAGAAACACCTAGGAGTGTCTTATCTCAAGCGCTGAATAGCACTTGGAAACGGTTAGCTTTCAGGTAGGAAAGAGGAGCTGGGAAAGAAAAGCCACACTAAAAATAGCAAGTTGCAATCAAAAAAATAGTTCTTTTCTTACTGGCATTTACTTCCATAAAGAAAAGCAAGTTTACAATGAGAAGCACATTTCTCATTTTTAAATGGGCAACCCCAGGGAGATGTACCAATCTTGAAGCTGCTTGCAGAGCTCTTAGGAATGGGCTTAAATGGTTTATCCTCCCCTGGCAGTCATTTATCTGGATAGTCTGAGCTGGGACCAAAGGAAATATTTTGTCAAAGGAATTTTTTCTAAAGGTCTTAAACTTTTCCTATCCTGTCTAATTATAAAGGACACCACCATCAGCAGGATTGCTATAATAAGCAAAAAGACACTTAGGTGCAGATTACTCATCCCCTCGAGCTAGGAATATAAAACATTTCACTGAAAAACCAAATCTCAGATGTAAATCCAAAGATGCTAATGGCAGGTGAGGCATTCACAGCAAGTCTCTTACATTTTTCTAGAATGTGTTATTTTTTCCACCCTGCTTCATTCTTCTGACATTCAAATAATACAGCACAGTTTTCATGTCAAACATTGATTTTATTACCACAGTAAATGAGGAAGAGTAAAGCTCAAAATTTACCGTGGTAAAACCTTGCTGCAGCTGAGCATTTTTGGCCATTCTTTATCGGTCGATGATGCCCATGTATTAATTTTATCCTTTCATAATACCTTATGATGCCAATGTATGAATTTTATCCTTTCAAACACATACACAGCTCCTACCAGTTTGCCCAGAAACAGTCAAAATCTGAAGTATCCTGTTTGGCTAATAGTTGAAAATGGGGTGGAAGTTTATCAGTTACCTCTTTTGCCTTTTTCTCCATCATGAAGCCGCACGACGAAATGCCCAAGGAGATTTTATAGCATCAACAGATACAGCAACAGCGTTTTTAACATGAACTGAGCAAGTCCTTGCTTACACAGTAAAATTAAAGTTACCCAACAGTTTGGTGGCAAAGAAGCACAGAGAAAATGTTTTGTGTGTGTGTTATATTATGACAGCTATAACATAAATCAATTCTTGGAGACTCAGAGCTTGGGCTGCTTGCCTATTGCTTGGCATTGTACTTTTTTTTTTCTCTCAACCTCTAAGCTTCTGAATTTAAAGTTTTTCTATTCGATGTGTCACAGGCTGTTTTAAATTTTAACTAAAATCTCAGCCAATTGTTCCCTGAAATAAGGTTAAAGTAAGATTTCCACACTTATCCAGCCACTTTATTGAGAAGCCTCGCAAGTCAGAAGACTTTTAACTCCCTTCTACTTGGAAACGGCTTTGCCATCGTCACAAGAATTCCCCTAAGACCACTCACAACCCGAGTCTCAAAGTTTCACATCTGTTAGTGGCCTTTTTACCAAATGGAATCTAAGGAGTGTTTTATAGCCGTAAGTCCTCGGGGCCAGCAGCGGGGTGAGAAACGGGGATGGTACCACCTCTAATGCCAGCAGCACAGGGGACAATAATCACAGGGCACCTGGTTGAGTAAAGGGCAAGGAAATTACCCAACACATTCAGCACAGGGCTTGGCCTGGTCATGGTAACAGAGATGGTTACACTCAAGCCTGAAATAAATAGCTGCCAAGCTAGAAACCTAGCGCAGCCATGACAGAACATCTATTTAGGAGCTGCACAATACCTAATTTGAAAGCATTGCCATTCTTACTGAGGTTAAATTAAGGTATTAGCAGATATTTCCTGTGCATTCTGTCATGCCACCCCATAGTGTTCTTGTCCCTTTGATGTAGTATCGTACCCAAAGCACAAACACTCTGAGGAATACCCTTCAGTAAGTTTAGTGCAATTTACCCAGTGCTCTGGATGCTTTCAGAGACATCAGTGTTTAGGGAATCTTCCCTTTCGAGGGTTCACCCACCCCATGGCACCGTCAAGAAGAGTTCTGGGCTGGCTGCCACGAAGGGATGGATGCTGTACGAGCCCAAACTGCACAGAAAGCTGAAGTGCTCCCATTCCACCTTGTCTCTGCCACTCGGACACGCAGTCAGCACAGAAGCGATGAGTTTTTCATCACATTAAGTGGCTCTTTGTGGCTGAGCAGTAGAACTTCAAAGAGAGCACTGTAGGAAAAAAAAAAAAGCTAATACAGCAAGAAGAGCATTTTCCTTGTTCAGCAGGGCCACCCAGTGCAGCAGCATCAGCAGTGCTGTGGAAGTAGGGTGGAAACCCATCAAAGCTCTCTCTTCTCCTTCACTAATATGTCCATGCTCCCCTGAGCCAGACAAGACACTCTTGGTGCCCTCTGCTACTCCACTCCCTCCTACCTTGCTTGCCTCTGTCCATTTTAAATAATACATTACTTGTATTCAGAAGGAGAAACGAGTCCCTTCTTAAGAAGCTTTCAGTAGAGTTAAACTGTTTTAATTAAGTTCTCCTGAGATGCCGTCTGTCAGCAGCAGCTTCCCATCCATCCCAAGAAAGCGGCCAGGGACCCCACTAAATATCTGAACTGGTCTGAGCTTTTTTCCACTGGGAGAAAGCAGCCAGGGACCCCACTAAATATCATCTGAACTGGTCTGAGCTTTTTTCCACTGGAGAGATACTTAGCAGTAAGTGGTTTGGATTAAGCTGCAGGAACAGTTAAATGATCACTGCCAGGCTTTTTGCAGCACTAAATCCCTCCCTAATGGGAGATGAGCCTCCCAAATTGCCACCTTCTGGCACAGCAGCCCATTTTTTACCATCCCCTGCCCTTCAATATTGGCCGGATGGTGGGCACCAAGCTGAATCATCCCATCTTCTGTGCAGGTGAAGGCTCTGTACGTGAGTCACTCCCTGTCAGAGCACGCCGGCGGAGGTGACAGCCGTGTCATTTGGAGCATTGAAAGCAAACAGAGTAATTGGGGGAATAGATAGGAGGAGGAAGCCGGTGTAATCATAGTTTAGGTAGGAGCTGAAAGGTGGGACAACCACGATATAGTCCCAGCAGAGAATAAAATTGGCAAACAAAATCAGCAATTTGGGAGCCCGTCTGTCACTTTGCAGGGTAATTCACTGGGGAGAGGGAAGCAGATGCTGTCACGATGGAGTTTTGGGGAGCTCAGAGGATCCTGCAGTCCCTGCTGAGCCACCAGAGCCCAGCCCAAGGTACGATGACAACAAGTCATTAGTCCATACAGGAATGGGGCATGGAGGGGCCACCCCAGAGCTGCTGGGAGCAGGACAAGTAGCTCGGTTCCAAAAAGAACACTTTTCAGACTGCAAGTGCTCCTTGGATCAGACACACAACCAAAACATGGCTTTGAGTTTGACAGCAATGCAAAAAAAGTCTGTCTGATTTACGCCTCGCTTCATGTTGGTTTGCGTCCAAGTGAAAATTGTATTTTAAGGTAACGACAGAAGCTACTGTCACACAGGAACTGCTGTGTGGGCAACAAAAGGTGACAAGATCCGTGCCAGCAGGGCAATAAGTGGAAATGCAGAGGCTGCTGCAGCCATCCCTCCCACTGGCATCCAGCCTTCAACACTCCTAGGACCCCGTCTCCCAGCCAAAAGTTATTCTCACTGTGGCAAACTGAGTACAAAACCAGCATTAAGACAAAAAACCCCACCTCTCTACAAGCATAAATTAAGACAACTAAACTCACAAAATAGTGTGCCTGTGACTGAAGTGCTACCCTCAGCCCACAAAACACCAACACTTCAAGACAAACAGGATAATGGCATTTTTTTTTTCCCTGCAACGGAGAGCTTGGGCAATAGAATTTGGCAGCGTTTATGACAAACTCCTCCACAGCTTTCTAAACATTATACACACAAAACTTGGAAAGATATATGGATTTTTAATTTATTTTATTTTACCTAGAAAATTGGTTTCTATCTAGAATTGTTAAAGTGGAACGAAGAAATTCCCTCATCCTTCCCAGCCTGCTTTCTCCAGCCTAAGACCACACGAGCTGCCAGCAGCCTGAACCAAAACAATATCAATGAAACAGCACATCACAAGGCTGCTTTCTGCTAGATTATATCTGTGCTTATTGTGAAAAATGAGCAAGAGACATGTAATTATTTGATTCGAATCTATTTTAGCATGGGAGTGTTATTGCCCAATATGACATAGGCATGAAAGCAGACAGAGCCCATGATCTGGAGTATATTCTTTTCTTCTCCTTAGCTGGAAGAGCCACCTCAATACAACCCTCACCTTGGGAATCTCTATTTGGTCTGCAGACATGAGAAGACAAGTAATTTATTTACAAATCAAGGGGGAAGAGGAGTGAAAATATATATAAAAACCAGGTGAAGCTACCCAAAAAGCATCCCTTTTTGATAAAAACCACAGCAGCAGGCCCAGAGTTATGAGACCAGCACCCTCCGTCCAGGTATTTGCTGCAATTGCACACAAGTAAAGCGGGGTGTGAACTACTATTGGAAGAGAATAAGTTGTTTACCCCCACACCAAAAAATACCCCAGCCTGATCCAAGTAACAGGGAGTCTTAGAACAACAGCTACAAACCCTGCTTGTTCTCAGCCAGGGCTTGAGCTAACACTGCTTTTGGGGTGAGTTACTGTCCTGTGCAATTAATACCTTTAGTCTAATAATACTGACGTGGTTTGGGGGAATGTAGCTCAAAAAACACACCCTTCCCCCTGGCTCTTTACCACTTAGACCCCCATCCTAATCCAAGTAAAAGGGAGTCTTAGAACAACAGCTACAAACCCTGCTTGTTCTCAGACAGGACTTGAGCTAACACTTCTTTTGGGATGAGTTACTGTCCTTTGCAATTAATACCTTTAGTCTAATAATATTGACATGGGTTGGGGGAATGTAGCTCAAAAAATACACCCTTCCCCCTGGCTCTTTACCACTTAGCATATGCTCTTTCAAACCCAGACAGCAGCACGCTTAACATGAAACTAATTGCAGGGTTTGGCATTTTCCATCACGGATCACCACTTAGAGCTTGTTACAATCGAACAGCATTTTACCTCCTCGCCCAAGTTCCCAGGCAGTGGAATATCTGATTGGGCTTCACTAGAAATTAAGCAGAAGGGTCTGCCTCAATGAAGGGCGGGTGGAAAGACTGCCCGTGCAGCAAATTGGTGCTGAACCCTTAGCACTGCCCCACAACCAAAGGTCAGATTGTTCCAGAGGCAACACCTTTAGTCTTGAATAACTATAGGCTAAACAGAAGGAAAAAAAAATAAAAATAAATCTATTAAGGTTATAGCAAGGGTTTAACCTGCAGAGCATCATCTCTCTAGAAAGAAATAGGAGTTTCTAGTAGTAGTGAACCTATTAAGGTTATAGCAAGGGTTTTAACCTGCATAGCATCATCTCTCTAGATAAAGAAATAGGAGTTTCTAGTAGTAGTGAACTCATCCTGTACCTTCCTACGTTTGCAGTTTGGCTGACGGGGCACACCGGTGTCTACACACTTTAAATACTCAGATTAATCCACTGGTTTTCTCTCTGCAAATTGCTCCAGTCATTTGAATCCATTGAATACTCCTGAATTTCCATTTACTGCCTGAGTGACTTGATTTTCATCACGTACCAGGCAATTAGCACCTCTCCTGGATAAAACTGATAGGTACCTCTAGCCGAGGTCAGAAGTTTTACGTACCCCTATCACACACAGGTCACCTCAGTGGGGTTCAGCTGCCGAGTTCGCAGGGATTTTCTATCCAGACATGGCCCCCAGCCATCCCTGTGCCCTTTCCTGCATTTTTCCAGGTGCACTGGGCAGCATTTGCTTCTGTGTTCCAAGCAGCTTATGCTGAGAAGTGTCTACATTGGATGGGCCATTAAGCTGTCTTCATCTGTCACTCTGATTATGTTCATTAAATAACGCTCCCCTGCACAAGCAAGTGGCTCTAACACCTAATTTTATCCACTAAAAAACAACAGAAAACCCCAAGCACCCTCTAACCCTACAGACTAGGGTCACCTAATGACTAGTAGCATTTTAATGACACTTTCAGGCTCGGGACTTCAGGCTTCAATTTTAGCAACAGCTGAAAACAAAGGGTGCAGTAACTCTTCTGAAGGCAGAGCTGATGATGTCCTTCAAGAGAGACAACTGCTTTCCTGTCACTTTTATTTACCATGCCAGAAAGACAGAATTAGTCAAAGGCTCCAGATATCATCCTGCCACAGCGAGAGGTGGCCAAAGTTTTCAAAAAGCCTTATCCTTAGATTTTAATGCCATTGGGAAGTTATTACCTACAGACTAGGGTCACCTAATGACTAATAGCATTTTAATGACACTCTCAGGCTTGGGACTTCAGGCTTCAATTTTAGCAACAGCTGAAAACAAAGGGTGCAGTAACTCTTCTGAAGGCAGAGCTGATGATGTCCTTCAAGAGAGACAACTGCTTTCCTGTCACTTTTATTTACCATGCCAGAAAGACAGAATTAGTCAAAGGCTCCAGATATCATCCTGCCACAGCGAGAGGTGGCCAAAGTTTTCAAAAAGCCTTATCCTTAGATTTTAATGCCATTGGGAAGTTATTTTAGTCTATAGCGTCATCTGTCATTACAGAATTAATCACCTCGCTTGCTTTAAGGGCATTAATGCATGAAATACTGGTATCAGCTACCACCAACTGTTAAACTTCCATACAAATAATGCAATTCTCACCCAGGCTGCTCTGTTGAGGAGAAATTATATGTGGTCCTTTACAGCTGTACCCTACAGACACCCTCACTTAGTGAGGAGCTGCAAGGTGAGGGTCAGTTTTCTTACCATTCCCATAGAAGCCACCCACCAATGCAGTCCAATGAGCTCAGATCACAGGTCACCAGGTGACTGGAGCAATGTTGTGGGACCAGTTGACTTGGTACCAGTCTTCTCCCCATCTTTTGTTGCTCCTTTACTGGTCTTACAACCCTCCCTTTGCCTTTAGCATTGCTGTACATCACCGTACATACCATCAGCCCCAGTGGA